TGGGTTCACAGATAAAGCTGAGTATGACTTATCATCCATAGACCGATGGCCAAAGTGAACGAACGATCCAGACGCTCGAAGATATGTTACGGGCGTGTGTTTTATTGATTTTGGAGGTTCGTGGGACAGCTATTTGCCTTGATTGAGTTCTGTTGGTCCCGTAAGGGTCTACAAGAAGATAAACAGTTTGTAGAAGGGGGGGGGGATGAATACAAACACAGTATTTTCAAATTTAAAATATATATTGATAGAGAAGATCAATACAGATTTTACAATATTGTTTGCGGAAAGATAAGGTAATAAAAACCTATCTAAACAATCTTTGGTTACACACAAAGATTTAGCAAATACAAGAAAAGAGATTGCTAAAAGAAAGATCCTTTACTTAAGCTGGAAGATGCTTGAAGTAAGAATAAGGTTAGAGAGAGATGGGCACTCTGTGCATGGAGAAGAAACACTTCTATTTATACCCAGTGTATTAAATGATCATTTAATGCAATATGGTAGGTTTAGAGTGCGTGTCAAAGCTTAAGAGGAAGGCTTGTCCTTTGCTACAGTGAATAGTACAAAAGCACTATTTCTGAGCAGACATCCTTACCTAAAGTTGGTGGACAAAGAGTCGACTAATCGGCTTCGTACCGTACTAACTTTTGGAAGGGTATGGGTTTGTCTTTTGTGTGCATAAGGACAAGACAACAACAACCGTGCTAAGCAAGCTTCCTTTGATCGCTGAATGCTGGAATGACCTGAAGGTCTCATCATCATTCGCTGAAGCTAGAACAGTCTTCACACATATATAGACAGGCTTGTAATCACTGAATACCGCTTCAAATCACGTACTCGGTCTCTAATCTTTAGTTTCAATCTTCGACGTTTGCTGAAGGTTATTTGGTGTGAGTGTTGTATTCTTGAAGTATTGTTGTCTCTGATAGATTTACAATGCAAGTTCTTCAGCGATCACTGAACATACTCAGTGAAGATCGCTGGAACTAAAAATACAGAAACACAAATACAACATGAAAGAGAAAAGGGATTATCATCAAATCACTGAGAGA